CGGCACGCGCGGCCGTGCGGCGACCAAACCGGGTGGTGGTGGCAGGGGTCTGCCTGGACCGGTAAGTCTGGCGACCCAGGGGCCGTAGGTTGCCAACCCCTCTTTTAAAGGAAAAGTGCAGCTCTTGGAGATTGCAGCGGTTCCCATTTTTTACCAATTTCCAACTGGCAGTGTGGGCATCTGGGGACTGAGGATCGGCCTCGATCTGCAAAACCAGTTAAAGGATGGCCTGCATGCATTGCAGATGTTATTATCACCCCTGGAATAGATTAAACAGAATCAGCTCCAGGCTTTGGATGGATCTTTATTGTGTCATCAGGCCTCAGACTACTTTCTTCCTCAGTAAGAGTAAGAAATTTTACCTATCTATAATGGCTTTGATAGAGCATTGTGGGAAATTAAAATGGCATGCTACACTTCCCACCATGAACTATGACTGGGTGTCATTACCCTGCTTGGGTGCTTGGACTCTGACAACTGTCCAAAGCTAGAATCCTGCTTGATGCCCTATGTTAGCTGTTGGAATTTTTCTGGGGCTGCACAGCGATGGCTAAGGAAGGCAGACAAAATCTGTCAGTTATAGGCAGTCTATTTCTCTAGTGTCATACTTCTCTTATGGGTGCTATATGAATGCCTTTTTTTATTCCTGCCACTAGTGCTTACATAAGCATCGTTACACCAGCACTGGGCACTAATGGGAAGATTCCAACCCAAGTGTGCTGACACTCAGTGGCATCACTAGGGGATGCAGGGTGTGTGGACCACACTAGGTGACACCCTAATGGGTGGGTTACACCACTGCTGCTCAAACACCTGTATTTGCGTTTTGTATCTCTTTTGTATCATTGTGGCATTTTCTTGTATCTCTTTAAAATGCTTTAAGAGATGGTGGAAGTGAAGTGAAGCTCAGAGGTAGAAGAAAAGAGGGGCCTCAGAATTTTTTAAGATTAAAATTTCAAATTTCAAAATTTTTTAATTTTTAATTTTTTATAAAAATATTATTTTCATTTTTTCTTTAAAAGCATCATGTTGTAACCAAATATTCACTATGTATATGAATATACATTTAGGCTCTTGTATGATATTGTAATTTGAAGGTATAATTTTAATTTTTCTAGTTTTTATGTCACAACTATTAGCATTACATTCAGCGGTATATGGGAGTTATGATTATGAATAAAATTAGTGCCAAAAAGCATGATTAAGGATTCTGTATGTTATGAAATGGGAGGAGGTAAATAAGGGGTTGACACCATGAGTTGCCACATTGGGTGACACCCTAGGGAAGCCAGTGCTGACATTATGCCAGGGATGAAGTGTGTAACAACAGCTCCCCTCGTACAAATTCATTCCCCTCATACACATGCAGCAATTATCAAAGCCTTATGAAGAGGATAGCAGCCATGTTGAATTCAACATTCAGATGAGTTGCATGGGTGCATCTACACCATAGAAATTATGCTGTTTGACATCACTTTAAGAGCTGTAGCTCAATTCTATGGAATCTTAGGATATGTAGTTTATAAGGTATTTAGCCTTCTCTGTCAACGAATGCTGGACCTACAGATCTTAGGATTGTGTAGAATGGAGCCAGCTAGTTAGTGGTGTCAAACAGCATTTTCCCCCTACAGTGTAGATGCGCCCTATGCTGGCTATGGATCAGTTTTTTTGTAATGTTAATCCTTAGATTGTGGAGCAGGATGAGGTACCTTACATGTCTGCCAAGTGAAATCAAGGTACTTGTCCTCCATCCCATTCCAAACCCAAACTTATCTGTATCCATCTCCTCCCCTGTGGAGAATGGGAGGAGGGGCACATAGGTCTGTACCAGCTCTTCACCAGGAAGGCAATAGCCATGTTGGGAAGGGACAGCTACAGATTAATATTTGGGTTTGGGAGGTGAGAGTGGATACGTACATTTGTCCTACTTGATAGTGTTTTACAATACTTCATCCCATCGTATGAATGGTTAGGGATTAAAGTTACAGGAACACTATCCTATATCCAACCTGGCAAACCTAGACTGTTTACTGAGGGTGGAGGCAACTTGGAGATTTTCTTGGATGGCTTGCTCTGCCCTCCTTCCCAATCTCTGTATCTCCTTTAGTCATGGCTATTGCTAAGCTGCAAATGTGGAAAGGGAAGAAACAAAGGCCAAACCAACATAATCTTTCCCTTCCACACCTTTGTGTACTTAAAGTCCAGAAACTTTCTGGACCCTGATGCTTGCAAGGGTTGTGTCCCTACTAAATTCTTTCTTTCTTTCTATTCCTAGCATAATTGAACAAGGGTGAAAAGTGGGGAGAACTATTTAAATCTTTTAATATTTCAAGGAATTTTAAAATAGTCCTCTCAATGTTCTGAAGCAAAATGATTTCCCAACAAAGTTTCTTTTTTGTTGTTGCTATTACTGATCTTCCACACTCTGCCTAAAGCAGAGGATTTTTTAAAAATTAAAAAATAGTTCCCCAGAATTCTGTTCCATATTGAAATATGATGATAGCTGAATTGTAGTTAGCAAAGCTAATATGAACTCCATCTGCAAACTGACTTTGTTATGGACATTAAAAGAGATCAGAAGGGTCTTTGTAGTGCTTTGCATTCAAGGCATCATAGGACACCTCTTTCTGGCTCTCTAAATGTGCTCAAGGCTGATAGGGCTAATAAGCTAATAGAATGGGCAGCAAATTTTGCACAAACTGCAGACAATGTATTCCCTTATATAAGAAAGCTGGTCATTCAAAATGTAACATGACATGTTTTGAAATAAACCAAGATATAGTCTTAACATTATACAGTATCACTGCTTAGCAGAGCAATACAATATTCACATTACTCCAGCATAGGAGATAGTGTCTCTGTGTTGAATGGATGCACAGCATAGGAAGGTAGAGGAGAGTAAAGCATATAGCTAGAAAATGTGAATGGAGGGAAAATGAGAGGGGAGGGGATTCAGACACAGTGATGATTCTGATGTCAGTGAGATGATCATCTGCTCCAGGCATTAGTCTGAACTGTACAGAACTATCCAGGGTTCTGACTTCTGTTCCTCCAAATGGTTTCAACACCCTGGCTAGCTAAAGTTATGACTACAGCCCATAGCAGAATCACTGCCCTACTGAGAATGAAGGCACCAGCTGCCTCTGGACTCATACCAAGAAATTCAATTAGTGCTCACCAAGTGAGAAACAGAGATTAGAAAAGTGTGTGTGTATGTATGTGTGTGTGTAAGCATCCTACTTCCTAGAATCCCTGTAGTCAGCATAGCCATTGACCATGGTGGTAACATGGAAAGAATGTCAAAAATATATTGCTCAGAAATAAATTGGGTTATAAATATATTTCTTGAGAGTAGGGGAAACTCTGATGAGGAGAATTTAGGACTGACAAGAATCTTTATGGTTCAAGACTTCTTTTGTATAAAATTCACACACATTTGTCTTGCTCAGAAAACAGCATTTTCTGCACAGAAAAAAATGCTTCTGCACAGAGATATTATTTTCTGCACAGAAAATGCTGTTTTCTGCACAAAACAACCACATGCAAATTTTGTACCGAATTTTGTACAGAAAATTATGAACTCTGAATAGTCTTTGAAAACTGTGCAGTTTTTGAACTTTCCCAAAGTGGGAAGAAATTGGCTATTCTGGGTATAGTAATAAGGAAAAGTTGTGTTTCCAAGTTTTGATAAGACTAGGCCATGACTAGTATTCTCCAGCTTGGTAAAGCTTGAGCATATCAAGGTCTCCCTGTCCTGTTCCAGCCTTTTTAGTTTTCCCACAGAGTAATTCTGTGTATACTGGTGTACACATCTTAAAAACTGTGCACATAAAATATGTACTGATTTCTCTGTAAGGATAATAAAAAAGCTTGCACAGAACAAGGGTCCTTTTTTTGCATGCTTCTTAAATGCTTGCCTTTTTGTATCCATCCACCCCTTGATTAATGTGTGTGTGTGTGTGTGGAGGGGGGGGAGATAAAAAGGGAGAATTTTTTCTTTGTGCATTTTTTCAAATGTGAGCATGTGAGCAATAGGTACTTGCTTTCTTTCACAGAATGCACTACATTCTTGGAAATGAATGAACTTCTGTCCACAAATTGTATGCAGTTTTAAGTCTACATTCGGGTCCAGGAGGTATGAATTAAATAAATTTGTTTTAAAAAGTCACCCACAATGGAGCAAATTTCTCAGGTGTCCTTCATGTTTACATCTAAACCAGAGCATAGGGAGATGTAAGGCCTTGACTTACCTCACCTCCATATCAACCAGAATATGTGCTTCAGCTATCAGTTCTTTGTGATTGAAAAAACATCAAGGGGAAGGTCACTATAGAA